GCAAAAGAGTGACTCATTTTTTACGACCACTTAAATTGCTCAAATCATGACCTCAATTTTTTTGTGTGTTCTCATACCCAATGCCATAAAAGTCACCAAGTTTCGTAATTTTCTGAGGAAGCTGTGATTTTTAAATATTCAAAACAGATTTCTTTAATCACAATTTATTGGTGTTTTTGTGTATAAAAGTGTGTGTGTGTGCGTAGGGGTGGGTATGTCTGTTTTGCACTCTTGATGTTTTACAGTGTCACCCCTTCAATGCTGAGCACTTTTTTTCTGCATCGTGGCCGATTTGTAGATTGTACACACAAAAATTCTCAAAGTTTTTGTGTTTTTGTCAATTTCTCATTCATTTCCAATGGTCGGTCATTTTTGACCGAAGAGCACAAGTGTGACTATTTTTTTACGACCACTTAGCCTGCTCGGATCATGACCTCAATTATTTTCTGTGTTCACATACCCAATGCCATAAAAGTCACCAAGTTTCGTAACATTGCGATGAAGCTGTGATTTAAAAAAATTCAAAACAGAAGATTTTTCGGTCAGAAATGAGCAAAGAGCACCTGAGGGTTAAGTGAGAAATAATTTCAGTGCTCTGGTCAACCTCTGTAGAGTGAAAACTGGTGAATGCAGTTTACAGCTTTCATAGAAAGAGAATGAAGTGAGCGTGTGTGAGTCCTGTGTGTGGACAAAATAGCTCAATACGAGAGGCAACGAGAAAATCACATCGTAATGTTTTAAAGAAGAGTGCTTTGATGAAAGTGGTGGAAATAACTGTTGATGGCCATATTTTATTATATTATAACCCTAAATAAAGCATCTCACAAAGGTATTGTTTAGGTTACATTAGGCCTATATTTTATTATATTAAAGGCTAAATAAAGAATCTCACAAAGGTATTGTTTAGGTTACATTAGGCCTATATTTTATTATATTAAAGGCTAAATAAAGAATCTCACAAGGGTGTTGTTTAGGGCTCATTGCCATTAAAAGTTTAAAACCCCTTGCTAAAGAAACTATTAGAAATTCATAAGGAATAAACAATCTGTCACGTTTTGATTCGGTTTGGTTTTGATCTTCTGTTTGCATTCTTAGTCACATGTCCTTGGTTTTCCCGCCACTTTTCTGTTACCTTCATTAGTTCATCTTCGTCACCGGTGTTTTGTTAATCACCTTCATCTGTATCACCTGGTTTGGTTAATTCATGTCTGTATTTAGTTCCTTCAGTTCAGTCACTCTTTGGGAGTAGTTTCTCTGCCTGTTTGTACCTGTCTGAAGTTTCATTTTCCCCAAACCATCTCAGTGTAACAGAGTACTTTTCTTTCTTACTATATTCTATTATTGGAAAGAATTGAACTGTCTTTCATTTTCTTTAATTTATTTATTTTTGAGCAGGGACAATGCAAAATATACATTAACCTTAAAAAGGAGAGATGCATTTTACCAGGTTGTAGCACTTGTGCTGATTTCCACCTGTAGTCTCTGGGCAGGCTGATGTCAACAGATATACATATTAATAATCCATTTATCCCAAAAACAATATATATGGCATTCATTTACAAATACACTCACACATACACATCAATTACAATACATTTTGGGAACATGTTTGTTTTAAAAGAAGCCATTTTTTGGCCCGATGTGGAAAAGTGTTGATTTACACATGTGGTCAGTTCTGTTGGCAACTTGTTCCACTGTTTGATGGCCACACATGAGAAAGCTAAGCTGCCGAAAACTGTTTTACACCGAGAAATCGTGCACTCGCCCCGAACAGTCGACCTAGTGGCTCGAGATGTCATTTCTGAGCTCAGTGAGATCAACTTTTTTTAACAGAGGGGTTGCAGTGCTATTTATGATCTTAAACAAGAGACAGATATTTGAATATATGATTGTTTTCAAACCTAATATACTATGTTTTTTCAAGAATATGATAATAATGAAATAACCGAGATTTCTTGTCATAAACGTTAGAGAAGTTTTATACAAAGATTCCAGAGGCCTTAATGCTGTTTTACATGCTTGTGAAAAACTCGTCATGCCGTATCGAAAGTGTGGAATTATCATCACATTTAGATGTAAATTAGATGCACCTATGGTCAAAGAGTTTCTAATATACCTAAAATGTGCTATATGAATTTAACGTGCTGGTAATCTTTTTAATATGTTTTTTGAAATTTGGATTTGGGTCTAGAATGACTCCTAAACATTTAATTTGGTCTACCTTTTTAATTTCCTGACCCTCAACTGATTTTGTTAAATGAATTTTTTTTTTTTTAGCCAAATAGAAATCTTTTCCATTTCCTCAGTTAACTTTTGAGCAACATCCTTAACAGTATTACCATGAATATACACCATTTTGTCATCAGCATGCATTATCATTTTAGCATTAATACACACACACGGAAAATCATCAATATAAAGTGAAGACAACAAGGGCCCTAATATAGAGCCCTGCGGCACTCCCATAGTGCATGCTCGTAAGAGAGATGATACATTATTTATAGATACACTCTGCTGCCTTGCACTGAGAGAAGATTTAATCCAATTGAATCCGGTGTTGAACTCGTGGAGATTCTGGAAGCTGTCTTTCGTAAATGAGCAGCACAGAGAGCTAGATTACCATCGTCATTTTCAGGAACATAATCAAACATAAATTGTATCCATTGTTGAAGTACAGCGTCCGTGGGAAGCCTGAACACAGAAGACCAGACAGCTGCGTGAACAACACACTCGACGAGCTGGAGCTGCTGAAATATGGCCATTCTCTTTTCTGCTTATTCCGGAGGGAGGGTTGATGCAAATGTGTGGGTTAGTGACGTACCATAACCCAGCTGTAGTCCCAATCCAGTCATTTTTGTAGGCGTTTATACTTCCTGATTTTTAAAGGACGATATCTCTGCTTACACTGAACTTTCAGCGCTGCAACTTTGCAGATACTGTTCATGCACCAACAGCAACATTACACACTATTTAACACGAAAAAAGTGAAATCGCAGTCAACCCCCCCTTTAATATTCATCAATTGCGAAATCATGTTAAACACAGAGAGGAAATAATAAAAAACATAACTTCACTCAATGTGAAGTAGAAGTTATCATTGGCGAGGTGGAAAAGAGGAGAGAAATGTTGTTTGGAGGGCACAGTGTGGACAACCAATATGTCCGTCTAACGGAGCAGATATAGCAATTAGATCGTCAGTCAGATAGATAGATAATTAGAGAGATATATACCCTAGATAGATCGATAAATAGGTGTATTATTTGTCCACTGGGGAAAGTTGTTTTCATTGTAAAAATATCTTCATCAGCTCCGGAATCATGGTATTCATGCATATGCCTTTAGTTTGTTTTATTTTTGATTAAATAACGTATTCGTGTCTCAACCATTCAGAAAGCTGCAAGAAATTACATTTGCGCTGAACTATTTCCCATTTAGATTATAAGCGACATCCGTAGCTTGTCAGATGCAGAATTCAATGTTAATAAAATGCCCCATCACAATGCGTATAATGACGCACAATGGCTGATCTTGAGCTCTTAGGAGATGTGGCGATTAAATGGAAGGATTCGAAGCATCATCTTCACAACAAAAGCTGTGGAAAAATATATTATTTATTGAAGAATTCCCTCATTGTGCAGTTTATTTCAGTTAGGACAGTCTTGATTTCGCCCAACTCCTTGGCCCTCTCTAATTGAATTAATGACTAGACTCTTTTTTTGCCTCGACTTTGATGTCCGACCATTTCTTTTTTATTTCGGCCACAGTCCGAGGTTGTGAGGCTACAGCATTTACGGCGTCTGCAACCTTTTGCCACTCAAGTGCCTTTTTGGCATTAGTAATGGCGAGAATATCAGTTTTGTACATTATTTCGTTCTGTTTACCATCTTATTTATGAGAATGAATTGTATAAGCCAATATTATTGAAGAACATATTTCTTTCTTTTTTGGAAATTCGGAAATGTTAAGTTGCATTTCTGTTGCAGATCGATCAAACTGGTGTTCGTGTAGGCTGTTAATTGTAAGACTTGCTTTGTGAAGTCTTCGTGTTATTTATGCAATTTATTTCACACAACCGTCTACAGTTTCACACACTTTCACGTGTTTTTTCCAACTGCCGACGGTGTCACCATTTCTCATTTCACCCGTTTTTGTGCGTACGCCTGGGTCAGAGCTGGCGTGAAGGACCGCACATTTTACCGTCAAGTTTGTTTTTTATAAACACCAACTATTGCGTAGAGAGCGGCGTACGCCTTCTTTTGTGTGTACGCAACGTTTATAAATGAGGCCCCTGGAGCTTATCTCCTGACTTGTGTATAGGCTTTACTATGGCTGTTTTCAAAGCTGTAGGGAAAGTACTTTCATTTATAGACTGATTTATAACTTTAGTGAGCATAAATTAATGTACAATACAAAGTATTTACAACACACTTACAATAAGTACTTTACTCTACTTACAATACAGTCTGTCTGGGTTGTCAGAGATCGAAGCACTCCAGCTCCAGGACGTAGATCAAACTCAATTATTTAATTGGTCAAACTGAGGCTCCTTTTACATGAAACTACAATGTTTAGACACTATTGAGGCTCCTTTTACATGAACATCAAGTCCGCGAGGTTTTAAAAAGTATTAAAAAGTGATACATCAAAATTGTCAAATTTAAGGTTATTAAAAGTGTTAAATGTAGTCTGGGGTATTATTTTTTAAAAATTAGGTATTATTTTTTTTCAGACTATCAGGTGTCCTATTTTGTGTTTGTGTTAGTCCGTATAAATATGGGCTTTAGCTTATCTGGGCACAATCAAAGATCTTTCATTTCTGTCTAAGTTTGATGCTGACGTCATTTTCAGTGGCTGGACGATATATAGAGGCTATATAACCCTGATATAAGTGATCAACGAGGCTCCATTTAAATTTGTCACACATGGTCTGTGAGAGGCAAGGAGACGTCTGGCAAAATCACAGTCTGAAAAAATACAGTCTGTCCGGGTTGTCAGAGATCCAACCACTCCAGCTCCAGGACGTAGATCAAGGTCAATTATTTCATTGGTCACACTGAGGCTCCTTTTACATGAAACTACAATGTTTAGACGCTACTGAGGCTCCTTTTACATGAACATCAAGTCCATACGCAAGCTCCCAATTTTGTCCAAACATCTATAGTTCATTCGCGAGCTCACAGTTGAAAAACAAAACATTGATAGTTCATAGTCTTGTGTCATAAAATGTGACACAAATTGTAAAGAATCAAATGTTCAGCCACTCCAGCTCCTCTTCCTCCCCACGAAAAGTCCTCTTCTTGATGCCGTGGTCGAAGCAGATCTTATCATCTTTCTTAATGTCCGTGGTGGCCTGAAAGAGCAGGACATGCCTGTCTCCCCCCTGAAGCTTCTCTATGCAGTGGCATGGCTGCACGTTGCACTTCTTCTTTGAGTGTGTAATCCATCTCCCGATGGTTTCCAGAGACGGGTGGCACTCACAGGGGAAAGTCTCCGCATCGATGCAGATTTCGTCAGGGCCATGTTTGAAGAAAAACAGGTTTCCCAGCTGGTCCTGCGTCTCTGCCATCTCCCTGCCCTCAGCACCTGTGATCACCTTTCCGTGGAAATCACACAGGATGGAGCCCTTCCCGAAGGCCTTGGTTGCAACAACGCCTGTGGTCAAAAAGAGGGAGTCATTAATGTGCTGTTCATGATGTTATTATATTCATTTTATTTATGGATTTTACTGTGCTCATAAGACAGTTGTACATACCTTTCTGCTCCCCAAAGGCCTTCACAGCCAGACCCGACCATTTCTGCCTGGTCACCCCCTTGATGATGCACGGGTCACTCTCCGCCTGTGCTCTGCTGAGCGGCCTCCACTTCGCCATGATGTCCTCTGGACGAGGATGATTGGCCGTCCAGCCCTCTGCATCTATGACTAGGATATTCTGATGTTTACCGTGTGCAGAATTTTCAAAACTCATCGGAACATGAAGTTTAAATCCAAACCAAGGCAATCCGAGAAACCTGCGGCTGTTCAAAATACGCCATTATTTCACCGCAGGGTGTCAGTGTTCGTCTACACTAGTGACCGCGACGCTGAAATGTGTGAACAGATGAATAACATCAGTACGAAACACAAACATTTATTTATTTGGATTAAATATTGTGATCATTCAGTGTCATTTTTCAATGTCAATCGTTTTACTATTACATGTTCATGCCCAAAATGCTTAATTAATATTCAGAGAAGTTGACTGTCATTCTCCTCTAACTGCGGGCGTTCTGATCGTAGGCACCTCGCGATCATTCATTCTTTCAACTATTTTAAAAAGACAGGAATAAGCACCAATGTACTTTTTATTAGTCAAATTTTACACTCAAATTAGTGTAAATTTTATTAGTCAAAGTCAACGGATTAAGCCAGGATACACTGATCAGACTAGGTTAAACCGCGACTGTTCAGTTATCCTGGCTTTCTTAATTCTACTTTTGTGCAATACCCCTCTGGTCTCATTGTTAATACGTAGGTTACCCCCTTGTCTCCTTCCAAAGAACATTCACAGTGAAGGATTGATCATTATTGTGCCAATAAATACAGCATAATCATTCACAGGATATCTATTTACCTGTCTGGTCTCAGGACTTTCCTCAGGAGTGGTGCCGAAGTCATCTTCCGATGCTCTCACCCTCTTCCTTGGTGTGTCCATCTTACGGCGATGACGTACTCGCTTGAGTCCCACTCCAGTGTTGTCTTCCCCTTGAAGAACAGCCTCCAAAAGCTCTAGGGCCTGCTTGACAAGTTTGTGACATAAAACTTGTCTGCCGTCTGAGTGTCGTGACACATGAATTTTGATATTTTATTTCTGTCCGTTTCTGGATGAGTGAATTTGGCCTAGAAATGGAGGGAAAAAAGTAGAAAACAAAAGCAGTTTTAGGAGACAACACCTAACTCAAAGTCTCTGAAATAGGAACCCCCAAAACGAGAGAAAACACTTACACGGCTGGCGATGGAGGTTCTCACATCGGTGAAGTTTGGATTTCCTTCTGGCGCTTCTGAAATATGTCACCAGCTTTTTGCAGACATTTGTGGTGGATGTGAAAAAGAAATATTTTGCTGCACTGGCAGCGGGAAGTCTTTGTCTGATGTTCAGGAAGCGCTGCATCCAGTCCAATTCCTCTCTGGTGAGTGCAATTTGTGCGGGGCCAAACATCTGGTTGGTCTTGTGCTGGAGTATCTGTTGACACACACAGAAAAACGTTTCAGAACAGATTAAACAATTTGAGGTCACCTGATGTCTAAAGAAGAATGTAATACACTCACGTTGATCAGGAACACATTTTCCATAGGGCATTCCTGAGCCTCCTCAACCTCCTTGATGGTCATATTTTGGTAGACCCCCCCTCGGTGACCATACATGGCTGCCAGGTAGGCAGACATATGACCATAACATTCCCACTGATGGGCTGTGGAGGGATCATCACTTTCCAGGAGGACTATAAACAACACAGACCACAATCTCAGTGTTCATGTTGCACATTTCTTATTCTCTGTCAGTACAATGAGTTAAATGGGTGAAAAAAACGTCCTCAATATTTTGGGGATGGCCTGCTTGGCCTGGCTCAGACATTTCAATAGGGTGGCTTTGCTAAGCACCTTTTGTTCTTTAACAGTCTTTACCGCAGTCCGGTGCATGGCAACCTTTCTCTTCAGTGACTTTCTGATGCTCATCATCTCCCAACCCTGCCGATCGACTGTCCTGCACAGTTTATCTCCAACTCTAATCAAACACACCTGAAGCAACCAATTAAGGTCTTCAGGATCACCTGAAAATTAAAGGCAGGTGTGTTTGATTAGAGTTGGAGATGAACTGTGCAGGACAGTTGATCGGCAGGAGCAGGGTTGGGCACCCCTGGCCTAGGGTGTCCTGGTGTCACGTGCACTGATGGACACCCTTATGCTTGAACATGGTGTTCGTTATGGACAAACTGTGACTAGCACAGAAGTCCAATAACTGAACACCACTCGGGTTCAGGTCAGGGGGGCCGTTCCTCCCAATCATGCCCCTCCAGGTGTCACTGTCCCTGCCCACGTGAGCATTGAAGTCCCCCAGTAGAACGATGGAGTCCCCAGTCGGAGCACTTTCCAGCACCCCTCCCAGAGACCCCAAGAAGGCTGGTTGTTCTGCACTGCCGTTTAGCAAGTAGGCACACACGACAGTGAGAGACCTATCCCCGACCCGTAGGCGCAGGGAAACGACCCTCTTGCTCACCGGGGTAAACTCCAACACATGGTGGCTGAGATGGGGGCTATAAGCAAACCCACACCTGCCCGTCTCCAACTCCAGGGTGGTGAAGAGTCCATCCTCTCTCATGAAGTGTGATCTTGACTCTCTCTAGGTGGAACCTCTCAATCTCACGCATGATCTCAGGCTCCTTACCCGCCAGCGAGGTGATGTTACACGTCCCTAGAGCTAGTTTCCGTGTCCAGGGATCGGGTTGTCAAGGCCCCCGCCTTCGACTGTCGCCAGATCCTCTCAGCACTGGCCCGTTACGGTTCCTCCTGCAGGTTGTGAGCCCACGGGAAGGCGGCCCCACGTCGCTCCTTTGGGCTGAGCCCAGCCGGACCCCGCGGGGGGGAGGCCCAGCCACCAAGCGCTCACATACGAGCCCCAACCCCGGGCCTGGCTCCAGGGTGGGGCCCCGGCTGCGCCCTTGCTTTTTCTTCACTCATAAGGTTTTTTGAACCACTCTTAGTCTGACCCGTCACCTAGAACCTGTTTGCCTTGGGAGACCCTACCAGGGGCATATAACCCCGGACAACATAGCTCCTTGGGTCGTTCGGGAACTCAAACCCCTCCACCAAGTTTTTTTTTTTTTTTTTTTTTGTCCAAAATAAATTCCCTACTTAAATCTGTAAATGCCCTTTTCTCAAAATGAGTTTTTTGTCATTCTCTAGTACATATATCTCAGCCTATGTAGCACCTACGTACACCAAACTTTCCAGCTATACACTTCTGTATTCTGAAGATATTTTCAGAGGGATTTGTTAATAGATCATTACTGGCCTGATTTATGTGACATTTTAATAAAAAAAAATATGGCAAAAATCGATTTGTTAAGGGTATGGACAGTATATTTTGATTTCCTAGGTAATTAAACTTTTTTTCCCCATCTTGTGCGTAAAACAAATGAAAAAAAAAAATTGCACCTTGCTTTATCATATGCTCAGATCTATCTACCCGAAAATATATACAAAATTGGGCATATTTAATGAGATAATGCCTAATTTGCATAATTAAACATACAAATTTAAAAAACTTATAATACTTTTTTTATATACTTGTGTAAGTAATCAACTGAGGAAGTTTCATGGTGATATCTATTATTTAAAAATCTTACCCTATTCACCTAGTGTTTCACCTTAAAAGTTGGTATTTTACAAATATATATATACATAAAAAAGGCAGTGAGCCTCCAATATATCTTTGCTCTGACCCTTGACTATTGATCTAAAAACTTAATTTCCTCATTTTGATTGCCTACTTACAAAAAAACTAGGAGAAAATGGTCCAACGACTGAGCAAGATAGGCAATTTGGCGGCCATTTTGATAAGCAAATTAGAAGGTAAAAAACTCAAAATTTCGCTTGGGTACCAGTTTTTTTGGACTCAGCACCCTTGAAATATGTAAGATAGGCCGGTACCCGACTTGTACCCATAAATGCTCCTCACTTTCACTTTTTGGGACATCCCATCTAGACTACTGCGCAGACCAATCAGCACTGTCTTTGACAGTCGACAGGAAGGGGGAGGAGTTTCAAGAACTGAGACGTTCTGCACATATTACTTAATTGTTGTTTCCTTTTTGTGGGCCTTGCGCAGGGAGGCGACCCACCTGCACACAAACAAACAAACAACAAACGCCCTCTATGAACACTCATTTTTATTATTATTATTATTATTATTATTATTATTATATATTTTTTTAAAAACAGCATTAAAAGAGCCACATAATAAGAAATTGACTTACGCATGAATCCTGCTCGTCTCGTTCAGGAAGATCAGGGTGCTCAGTCTCGTCTTACCCTCACTCATGTGTGTTAAGAATTGATTAATTCTATACATTTTGGCATTTACATCATCAGTATGTTTAGATGATGGGTCTGGCCCTAATTGGTTGAGCCGAAACTCTTCCGTGATGTTATCTGTGCACAAAGACAAATGACTTACTAGAAAATATATTAGATATCAGAATGTATAATTTAAAGTAAGACACAGAGCAGTGATAAATATTAAATAGTGACTTACTTTAAATTATACATTCTAATGCCGGGGTTGTACTGCACTGCAAAAAAAGCTTTTCTTATAAGTTTTTGCTTAAAAAATCAAAATCATCTGCTAATGGAACAAGAAAAATAATTTTAATTCAAACAAAAACAATATTATTTTTTTATTATTATTTCCAATTCGCTTAGTTTTGATTTATTTCCCATCTTCATTTAAGACTTTTTAGATATTTGGACTGGAAACAAGACCCAAATACTAAGTAAAAAAAGCTTTTTCTGCAGTGTGTCAATGACATTTCAGAAAACACCCAGTTAAAACAATGCAAGTGCACTCACTCAGTGTCACCCCATGATCTGGGGGCTCTCCGGCTCCTGAAAGCTGGGTGGCTGCTGGCTGGTGGAGGGCTCTACATCACTGGATGGCCTGGGCATGGTGGGCAGAAGGGTCACCTCAATTTCTGGAAGCAAGTCCAGGGTGCTTACCAAGGGAACCGCTGGGTTAGTGGCCCTAAGTGCTGCAATCTGTGAGATTATCTTCTTCCTCTTAACAGTCTGGAGTGTGTTGTCCCTTTCAGCACGGGACAGCTCCACGTGGGATTTAATGCCCAGTCAAAGATGAGACTTTGACCGGGTGTATCTCGGAAACCACGCCCACTTGAAGCTCCAAACTCCGGGCATTGGTAGGGACACATGGGCCCCCCATGACCCCAGAGTATGGAGTCCAAAGTCGGCTTGGTTCTCGAGATACACCCAGAATCAGCATCTAACTTGTAGCTTAATAAGTTACTGACTGGACTTCACCACATAGTGTGAAATCCCCAAATGTTTACAGGATCTGACCCGCTGAAAATGTCTAAGTAAGAAACAGCATCCATCCTGTAACCTATTTGACGGGTCCCCTCCCTGGACGTTCGAATATTATGCAAATTGTGCCTAATTAATGTCTGTAATGTACATGAGTGTGTGGAGCTGTGTCCCCTGTGTGGTGTACAGTAGGTTTCACCTCATAAAAGCACTGTAGTTATGAAATATGACCCATTAATGTACAGTCCGGGAGGAAGCCTACAGGAGCTCTGTGGAATAAGTTGCAGGTTGGCTCCAAAGTTTGAACGGCTATAACTCGGGGACCCGGCCGCCTAGCCACACCAAACTCGGGTCAAAGTCGGGTCCAGAGGGGCCCTCTCCAACGCGCCCTAGCCCGTGCTTCTAGCGCCCCCACAGGCCGAGATACGGGGCCCAACAGGAAAGGGTGCACTTCAGAAGGAAGGGTCGCAGAGCCTCGGGACACTGGGGTCTGAGAGGACCACTAGAGCGCCCTCATCACCCCGAAGCACGATCCGCTGGGAGGAGGAAGTGGAGGAGGAATATTACCTCCTCCTATGATCTCCTCCTGGAGGATGGGTGCTCAGTGTCCTGCAAAATAACACAATACAACATCTGTCCAACTGCACATCATACGATAATCTCTGTCTAAAACAGATGCACTGTTTAATGACAAGTGTACTCACAGTGCGGCTTATCATCTCAGTGGTTGCCTTGGGGAAGAAAAAAAACATTGAAAAAAAATAAATGAAATGTGAAATATTACCACAAGCTTTAATTTGTTATAAACCAAGTTAATAAAGATTAAGATTTTGCCAAACAACAAAGCATTTTCTATCAATACTTATTTCTACACTTACCTCTTCACTCACTCCTGATGTGACAACACCGCTGTCGCTCATCATTTTGCTATTATTACTATTATTTCACACAAATGCCGCATTTATTATTTTTATTTGAAATAAGAAGATCATCAAGCCTGTAGTTTCTTGATCAGTTACCAAAGAATTTAAAATATTAATCAAAATCTTTACCAACAATATAAATCTTTACAGTCACTTTTGAATCCATTTAACCAAATATGTCCTGTATTTTTGACCAAATGAATGCAGGCCTGATGAGCATAATAATCTACTGACGTTTAAGGGGGCCCTAAAAAGGCGGATATTGACGTATGGTCAAAAGACGTCCCAAGACGTCAGTTATATGACTTTTTGGGATGAGACTGTGTTAAGGAAAGACAGGCAGAGCTCTAAAAGCAAAGGATTCTCACAGATTGTGGGTCCGCAACAGCAGAATCTGGGACTACAATCAGCTCTGTCTGCTCTTGCCTGACTCACGCTCTCGAGTTTCCATGTTGAAGGAGCTTCTACGGCGTGGTTTTTGTAACCAACCAGCCCAAGGAGTTTGAAATGGACAGAGAAGCTGGCAGTGCCTGCTCTTCCAAGGTAAGTTCAGTTATTACATGCTTATTACATGATAATAAATAATATATTTTATTGTTCTTAAACCATTCCATTGCAAGATTAAAATTAATGGGGAAGACAAGGATATAATCTTATTTGAAGCACTGAAGGACATCACTGTTGGCACACAGCTCAAATATGACTAAAGAGAGGCTCTTACCGTGGAGAGGGCCTGAGTCTAGAATGGCTCGACGAATAATCCAGTTCCATAAAAACACAAATCTTTTTAATTACTTATTTAATAGTTCTGTTCTTTATATGTTTATTTTTTTATTTTATTTTTATTGTATATAGTTTTTTATATTTCTATTTTCTTCTAATTCTTAATAAAATTTGTTGTCTTGAAAAAAGTTGTCAAGTTTAATTATTACTGTTCATGGACAGCACACTTATGGGTCATTTTTCAGAATTACATTGACTTTATGAGGTGAAACATGCTTTACCCAACACACTATTTACATTTCAGCTATTAATTATGCAAAATGAATAGGTTACAGCTGGGATGCTGTTTTTGACTTAGAAATTGTATTTAAAATTTCAAAATTATAAGCACACCCCATCATAATTCATAATCACTATCACAATTGCATAATTCCTATAATGTACATAATTAGGTTTGCAGCATATACACCAAATTCTAAACAGCATCCCATCAGAAATGGGATTCATGGAAGTGGGAATGGGAGTTGTTAAATACATACTTTTTCTCCATCTATGTTGCAAGCACAGAGAACATCTCTAATGATTGAATAGACATCTTGAAGTCCACATGCAACATATTAGACAGGGACAGATGTGTTGTACATGTACAGCTTATATGGCCCAGTCCAATACTTTGTGTCCCACCTGTAGCTCATCTGAAATTTTCAGATGTTGAATTACAATAACGCTTTGGGAATTTAATCAAAGTTTATGAAGTCCAAAGAGGAACTTGTTTTACAGGACTGTAAAATATTAATGTTCAAGTAAGATTGCAAGTTGGTTTACTCTTGGAGCAATTCAAAAAATAATCCTCCACTTGGTGATCCTGGGAAGATGGCACTTGGTCTGCCTGGTTCAGACTCACAACTATATCAATCCCAGCAAATACTGTGAAAACCCTATCTCGGTGAAAACTCAACTGATCCTAACGACATAGGCCTCGTTGAAATCGTCTATTAGCACTGAAAATAACAATATAATTTTCATAATTTTTGGCAGAGGATTGGCTGAGATATCTGTCGAAAACCAACATGCGCGTTAGTTGTCCGCGAGATGAGACGCGGGTGACGTCACTATCCCAGCAAATTCTGTGAAAACCATATCTCGGCGAAAACTGAACGGATCTGAACGCCACAGGGCTCGTTTGAATCGTATATTCGCACTGAAAATAACAATATAAGTTTCATAATTTTTGGCTGAGTTTTGGCAGAGATGTCAGGTGAAAACCAACGTGCGCGTTTTCATGGCGGCCGCGAGCGGAAGTGCGGGTGATGTCACTGTCTCCGAATGAAATCGCTCTGAAAACCCAGAACAGGGGTTTTTCCAAGATGGCGACCTAACCGCTCCTGTTTTACCGTGCGTGTGTGCAATAAATACCAAAACTAAGTATTCGGCTGTATTAAGTCTCTGAGCAGAGTTTGGTTGTGATTAATCGGTTACCCACATGTCTACACGGGATAAAAAGAGAGTGATGAAGGCAGCTAAGCAGGCAGTAACAGGTTCGACAAATCCCCTCGTGTCAAACTGTCATGACTACACTACCTCGGTAGGCCAGCTTTCCTTGATGCCGTCTGAAGATGATTTTCCATCCTATCCGGCTACACCTTGTAAGCCGCCTGCGTCTAAAAAAGCTCTCCTGAGAGATGATTGTGCGGGCTCTACTTCTAACTCGGACATTGTTGATACCCTCTCGACTCTGATCAACGCGAGATCGGACGCCATTGAAAAAATGGTAGGTGAAAATACCATGAAAATAGAGGGTCTTAAGATGACAATCGACTTCGCATGCAGAGAAATAAAGGATGTGAAAAAAAGGGTTGAAAGTATGGAGAAATGCGTGAAGAAAGAAGAAGAAGAGGTCGTCCATCTTAAGGTCAGAGTCACAGAGTTGGAAAACTACTCAAGAAGATGGAATTTGAAACTATTCGGAATTCCGGAGTCGATTGTGGATGTTAAGATTGAGTCTATTCAGATCTGCCAAGCCATACTTCCTCAAGATCAGAATAAAGTGGCGGAGGCAATTGACATTGTCCATCGTCTAGGAAAGAGGCAACCGGGTGTGTCCAAACCAAGAGGTGTCATACTTCGCTTTCTGTCGAGAACATATCGGGATGCAGTCTGGGCCGCGGCAAAGAACAACTCATTTTTACGGGAAAAGGGCCTCCGTTTCGCTGAAGATCTTCCGCAGGCTGTTAAGGAGATCAGAGCTAAATTATGGCCTGCCATCCAAAAGGCTCGTAGTGAAGGGAAATCGGCGTACTTTGTTGGGGCTCGTGCCTTCATCGGTGGCGTCGAACTTCGTCTACAACAGAACGAGGAAGGCCAGCGGAAAGCAATTGGTGATGAGGACAATATGTCTTAATTTGTTAACCCGTACCATTTGATGCCCATTTGGGTGCTTTTGGATCTTTTCAATTCAGGTAAAGATCACATTTCTTGTATGCTCAGAGGTTAATTGACTTGGTGTTGATGCACATCGTTCGGTTAATTCTCTCAAGGTTATTTACTTTCCGTTACAAAGGTGACATTGGATCTTTCTTTTTGTTTTTTTCAAATTTGTTGTTAATGTCTTTTTCAATTTTTTCTTTAAATGCCAGAGGATTGCGTCATACTTTAAAGCGTAAAGCTCTTTTTTTGTTCTCTAAGCAATTTAAAACTGACCTTTGCTTTGTACAAGAATCGCATTCTATTCCTGAGGATAGCAAATTTTGGAGATCACAATGGGGGAGTGATGTATGGTTTTCCAATTGTTCTGAGCGTTCAGCTGGTGTTATTACTATGTCGAATCGTTTTAATGGCAATATTTTACATTCTGAAGGGGATTGTAATGGTCATTTTCTTATTCATGTTTTATCCTTTAATAATATTACGGTTTTAGTTATCAATATGTACGGCTACAACTCCAATGCAGAAAATTCACGGCTACTTATTTTGTTAGAAAGTAGAATGAAACACTGGTTGTCTAAATTTCCTAGTGCATATATTATTTTTGGAGGAGACTTTAATATTACTCTTAATAACCAGATTGATCGCTGGCCCCCTGGAAAGAACTCTTCGACTTCTAGGCAATTACTTCTTTTAATGGATAGGTACGATTTAATAGATATTTGGAGGGAGAAATTTCCAGACGATTCAGGTTTTACTTGGTCCAACAAGAATCTTAGTAACTCCTCGCGCATTGATTACTGGCTGATTTCTAAGGCTTTAAATAAAGAAGATATTTCAGTTTCTGTTCACCCGACTCCTTTGACAGACCATAAAGCAATTCTGATACGAATTAATTTTTTTGCACTAGAGAAGGGATTTACCAGAACGTCTTATTGGAAGCTCAATAACTCCTATTTAAAAATTGATACTGTTAAATTAGAAATTAATCGCTTGCTTGATTGCTATTTAAAGAAATCTATTACAGAAAATTCATATTCGAATAATTGGGAGTTATTTAAGTACGAAGCCTCTAAATTTTTAAGGTCTTTTGGGAGCTCCTATATCCGGGCTGGAAGGGCAGAGGAGGATAATGTTATTTCAGAGATTTCTTCTTTTATGGAAAAGGGATTAGATATGCTCACAAATGAAGATCATTTAAATTTAGCAAAATTGCAAAACAAATTAGACGAGATCTATAAAAGAAAAGCTGAGGGCGCTTTTATTCGTTCCAGAAAGAAATGGCTCGAGGAGGGGGAGCAGAATTCTGCTTATTTTTTCCGCTTGGAAAAACAACGTGCTAATTACAATACTGTACATCAAATCAATATTAACGGCTCCGTTACCTCTGATTCGAAGTTGATTTCTGAATTCTGCTCAGCGTTCTATAGTAAGCTTTACACCTCCAATTTTTCTGAACAGTCATCTTCCTCCTTTTTTGCCTCTCTAGATAAATCTAAGAGTATACTACCAGATGATAAAGATCTTTGTGACAAACCTCTAAGTATTAAAGAAATAACAGATTCAATTGATCGATTAAAAAATAACAAATCTCCTGGGACGGATGGGCTTACTGGAGAATTTTATAAGTGCTTTGCCCCAAAACTGGCGCCGTTTTTACTGAACGTTTTTAATGAAAGTATTTCTGTTGGCCAACTTCCACCAAGCTTAAATCAGGGTCTTATTACGTTGATACCGAAGTCAAAAAAGGATTTATTATTTATTGATAATTGGCGTCCTATTTGTCTATTGAACAATGACTATAAAATACTTGCGTGTATATTTGCTGAGAGAATTAAGACGGTCCTTGACTCGATTATTGATCA